TGTGTGTGTGTGTGTGTGTGTGTGTGTGTGTGTGTGTGTGTGTGTGTGTGTGTGTGTGTGTGTGTGTGTGTGTGTGTGTGTGTGTGTGTGTGGCAACCCATCCCCTGCTCCGTGGTGGCCTGGATTTGTTATTCTGATTTGAACTGATGTCATGTTTGGGAACGGTCCTTGGGCTTCTATATAACAGGTATATCAGTCAAAATAATAATGAAAACACGCTGTTGAGATGGAGTTGAAAAATCTCGATGTGAAAGTATGGAGTATGTTGCATGGATCTCGTGGATCCTCCCTTCCTGTTTAATAGTGTGTTTATTGATTGTTGTTTTTCCATGTGTGATTTCTCTCAATGCAGCAACATTACAGGGCGTGATGCTGAAGGGAAGATTGACCCAAACATCCTTTCGTTTGTCAATTTGGAAACACTGTAAGTATGAGTAATACGTTTTTTTCCCCTCATCCCACTCATTGTATGTTTGTCAATCTGACAACACTGTACGTGTGACTTTGACAGCTTGCAGGACCTTTAGTGCTTCAGGTTGCTGTTCTTAGGACTGCGTGCAGTCTTTGCATCGGTGGTAAAAACACTGGTAGTCTGGTAGATTAAAAAAGCCACCTCTTATTTTGTCATTGCTCGTCGTTATCCAAATGAACGAGTACGAGCATCCAGAAACCTGGCAGAAAAAAATGAGTAAAGAGGTCTCCTCAGATGGGGAAATGTGGCAATAGCCAGTTGCCGATTTCATGATTCATGTTTTTGTTTTTGTTGTCGGATTGTATGCTCCCCTTGCATTGTGGTAAAAGGTCTCTGACAGACCATGGGGGATAGCAAAATGGCATGGCCACACAGGAAAGGACACTGCAATGACAGAACGGAACAGACTGTCGTGACAATCTTTGACAGTCAGAACAGCTGATTTCCGCATAGCAAAGTTTGAAGTCTTCTCACTCTCTTAGCATTTGACACTGTATCATGCTGAGCTTAGCAAACTGCCAAATTGTGTGAAGTCTTATGAAGGAGGAGGAGGAGGAGGAGCAGGTGAAGGATAAGGAGAAGCAGAAGATTAAGAATCTCTCTCTCTCTCTCTCTCTCTCTCTCTCTCTCTCTCTCTCTCTCTCTCTCTCTCTCTCTCTCTCTCCCGCGCGCGCGCGCGCGTGCGCAGTTTGTTCCCTGCTCGTTCAGAATGAGCACAATGAGAATGAATCTCTCGCTAGAAGAGGGAAGATAAATCTCCCTCTAGACGAGGGAAGATTCACTCCAGCTTGCACAACCTACGCGACCTAGGGCCTTGCTCCACTACTCTTGACATGTGAAAAACGAGAGTGAATCTTCTGCTACAACATGGAAAGATACACCGCCGGAAAGATACACCGCCGTGATTTTTTTCTTTTGTGCACGTTGAGAGTAGTGGAGTGAGGCCCCCATGCGACCCACGCGACCTAGGTGACCTACCTACCACCTACGCGACCTAGGTGACCTACCTACCACCTACACGACCTAGGTGACCTACCTACCACCTACGCGACCTAGGTGACCTACCTACCACCTACGCGACCTAGGTGACCTACCTACCACCTATGTGACCCATGTGACCTGCCTAAGGCCTGCCTACCGTAGCTCTCTCTCTCTCTCTGTGGCTCTCTCTCTCCCTCTCTCTCTCACTCTCGGTGCTGGGTACTTCGTTCCTGGTATTTCGTGCTACTTCGTGCTTGGTTCATGCTTGGTTTGATTTGGGTGCTACGTGCATCGGTGGTTGGTTCGTTGGAATTGGTGCTTTGTGCTACGTGCATCGTGGAATCGGTGCCTGGTTCAGTCTGGCGTAGTCAATACTTTTTTTTATGGAGTTGTGTAAAGCGAACATGACATCACACACACGCATGCAGATGCATCTTGGGCAGACTGCCGGGTTCAACCTCCTGATGAGTCGGTGAAATTCCGACGAAACAGTCTGGACACTCATGCTTCCTATTTGGCATGCACGAAGGCACGACCATGAGAGAGAGAGAGAGAGAGAGAGAGAGAGAGAGAGAGAGAGAGAGAGAGAGGGAAAAGGGGAGGGCTAGGGGGAACGGGCGGTATGGGGGGAAGGTTGCATGATCTTTTTCTTCGTTTCCTTTCTTTTTTTGTTGTTTTGTGTGTGTGTGTGTGTGTGTGTGTGTGTGTGTGTGAGAGAGAGAGAGAGGAGGGGAGCGTTAGGAGAACGTGTGTGGGGAGGGGGTTAAAGGTGCGCCACAACCAACGGGTTTTATTGGTCAGCTGGTACAACCATGACCTGTTGAAATGCAGACTGAAGTCCGAATCCATATGCTATCAGACGAACATAATAGAATAATTGTGAATTACATGGGGCCGGCCAGCGGGATGATGATATCTCAATCGTCCCTGTTTGTTAAAAAAAAAAGATGAAAAAAGATGCGCCATGTGGCTGTGGCACATGGAGCATTTCTTTTCCGTTTTTCTTTTTTTTCCATTTTTTCTGTTTGTGTGTATGTGTGTGTGTGTCTATGTGTGTATGTGTGTGTGTGTGTGTGTGTGTGTGTGTGTGTGTGTGTGTGTG